AGAAAATCATTGATCATTTCTTCCACTAAAAAAAAAAAAAAACAAATGCAGGCTTTCAACACCTTCAGCACATCCTATAAAGTTTAAAGTATATGCAAAACAAACCTTTAATTCATGCAATAAAGCCTCTTAATGCAAATCCAGAGCAACTTCGAATCAAGGCCAGAGAAAAAAAAAACCGGCAACACCTCCTCTCCAGAGATTTTCGGCTAATCTTGTTAGTCAAAAACCTTGGTAGTCAAACACACAACCAAGCAAGAATATCGAGCCAACAATCAAGAATACCGAGCAACTGAACATGAAATTCACGCAAGACAAGATTTTGGCAGCACCTCTACTCTCCTTTTGAATTTTTCGGCCAACCTTAAAGACCTCCCTAAGGTGGGGTTTTATAGGCAAAAGAAAGAGGAGCAGCCACCTACCAGTCCTAATGGTGGTCGAATGGGATGATGGGAGAGGAGGAGCATTTAGGGAGAAAGAACAGGCGGCCTAGGGGAAAGGAATGGTCGACCAGGTGGAGTTTTAGAGGAGGAGCATTTAGGGAGAAAGAACAGGCGGCCTAGGGGAAAGGAAGGGTCGACCCAGAGGAGGGTGAGACATCTAGTGTAGACGAGGGTGAGCCTGTTCGCGAATGGCAGAGGAGACGCTAGGGCTTCGCTCGGGCGGCCTCGGGTGCTGTTGATCGCGGGAGCTAGGGCACGAGGGGCGCGAGCAGACTTTGATCGAACCGCGACTGGGAAGAGGGAGGGAGGCTAGCACGGTTTAGGTGAAATAAGGTTTAAAATAAAGATTTCTTTTATTTTTATTATTTTATTTTATTGTATTGTGTTATATTTTTTAATTATATTAATTAGCGTGTGATTTATTCGTGTTCGGAATCCTAGCAAAGTGGGTATCTTTCCTGGGTAGAATTGACCCTCCGGATGGGCCGACGCAGTCCGTTTCGTCATCCGAGGTTGTTTGATTATTTTTCGATAATCATGCCAAATTCAAATAATAATTCACGCATTTCTTACGTGCAAGGAACCCACACAAAATAGATGTCTTTCTTAAGTAAAATTGACGTTTCGGATGCACCAGCGCAGTCCATTTCGTCATTTGAGGTCGCTCGACAAGTTCATTGATTTTCGTGCAATTTGCTCGTGTGCGGAATTATGATAATATGAGTGACTTTCCTAGTTAAAATTGATATTTCAGACGCGTTGACGCAGTCCATTTTATCATCGGAGGTCTTCCTGAGAAGTTCGCATTTTCAGCCATCCTTTAAGCTCATAAATTCAATTTTAGTCCGTTCTTGTGCAACTTTGTAAATTTTGTGCATTTTGTGTGTGTATGTGTGATGATAAAGTCCCGAAGAGGTTTTCCTAGGGCTTGAGATCCTGTTGGGAACTTCTCCTTGAGTCTCCACATGATAGTCCTTAACCACTCGACCATACGATGATGATTTTGAGATCATCAATACGAAACATCACAAGAGAATCAAGAAGTGGTTTGAATTTCTAAGAGGGATGAATTCCAAAACTAGTCCTCTAACATAGTCAATAGGAACCCCTAGAGCTAGATCCTAGGATTCTAAGGAAAACAATAATGACCTCAAAATGAGGTTAACAACTTGGAAAGAGAAATACAACAATAAGCACAAACAAACACAATTAAATTTATCCAAAAATAGTGGTGTTGCAGTTTAAGGGACATTACAGAAAGAGGGTTGGAGGGTGGTTGTGGAATGGCTGCAACCCTTGGCGTCTGCAATTGGAAGGAATACTGTTGCCACAACATTCAACATTCACGGAAACATGTTCCGGGCTGTTGGAGGGTTGGATTGGAGGTGGGAAAGGGTTGCGGTTGTTGTAGGATGGAAGTGCGGTGGTAGAGAACAATCGTGAATATCATAGGGGCGCTAACAGAGACAGGGAATGGGTGAGACAACAAGAACGATTGACCAAAACCACAAACATGGGCTCTGTGGCGGTTGGCAACAAGGAAAAGGGTTGGGACTGTAGAAGACAACAGAGCTGCCGTCCTTGGGCATACCACAACCATTACGGCGACATAGGCAGAAAAAGGAGGTTGTGGAGGAGGGGAAAGTAGAAGATAAACACCACCTCAGAGCGAGATACAGCCGGAACACCACTCGTCCTCGGATACAACCCTAAAAGGAAAATTGAGACATCAGATGCTGTCTTGATAGAAATCTCAAAGCTAAACTAACCCTAAAATAGAAAATAACAAATATACATAGTAGATAACTAGGAGGGAAGACCCCTCCCCTTGGGCGGCAACCCCAACCCATTATCATGGACCGGCTGGCCCCTGCTTCCCTTTTGGTTGTTTGATTGAACTGGTCTAGATGTACAAACCGGTTTAGGCCCCCCTAGGCAGCCCCACATCAAACTCACTCTAATTTCTCCACCAAGTCATCTACTTTGTAGGCCGCCATTACTTTCAGGAAGGTTTTTTATCACAAAGCCAGAACTCTTGTACGCCACAATCTCGTTGTTGGCTCTGCCTAGCTAGTTCAAGTCGCCATTGTATACTAGGTTGTTTTCTATATGCGATCTCGTTGTTGGCTTGTTAGCTTCCCAACTAGGTTGAATTTTGAATATATCTCAAGGATCCCTATACGTCGCTATCCCGTCGACTCACAACTAGCTTGTATCACGACCAATTGCTACTAGGGAACGCCTGATCCTGATGTTGCTTCTCTGTACTAGCCAATTTTCGATCATGAAGGTGGTTCCTATATGTTGCGATCTCGTTTGTCTTCCCAGCTAGCTTCAATCATGCGAGGTTTGGTTACTGCGGTGATTGTATCACGAACCCTTTTCTTCCAGAATCGAATGCTCAATACTAATTTGATAGGAAATATATGAATTTCATAAAGGAAAGAGATGAACTTCCATAGAGATTAAAGAAAACAAAATATTTATTTCACTAACACAAAATAATACAACCCGAATATATAAATGATAAACACTTATCAATCTGAGAGGTATGTGATCTCTTGCAAACCTTAATACTAACACCTACAATTCGAGAGGTATGTGATCTCTCCCAAACCTTAACTCTAAGATTCAAGACAATAATCACACATAGTATAACATTACCTTAGCCTATTAAACCATATTTATACCTTACAATAATAACTAAGAAAAGACTAAATTGCCATTTTAGTTGGGCGTCGGTCTACCGGAAAGCCAGCTCCTTCAAACTCTAGGGCTACTTTGAATTCAACTCGTTAAGACGTCACAAAATACTCGTCAAGAAGCCACAAAAAGTGCATCATGTTAAAGGAAAATATTTTATTCTCTTCAAAAAGAGGAAATAACTCATATATCGGCACAAAATTAAATCAACAGTACAAAAACCAACATTTACCAACTAAAGCAAAACCAGACTAGATCAAGAAGTATATTTCAAGCCTTGACTAGAAAAATAGAAACAAATCCCTGTACAACCCAAGTAATGCTGATAGCCAACCAATTTCATTTTCTACCATATCCCAAACATAGAGGAAATGAAAGTAAAAGAAACTTCAACTTCTGTCAGCGCAAAACTATAAGCATTAACCGATTCCACGACTATTCATGATTTTCCATAGCCTCACACGCAAAGCTGTAAGCATTAATCGAAGATATCACAACATCTGTGTGCAATTATCTTTGGAAGAAGATAGGATAAGACGAACCATAAGGCTAGCTTTTGCTTTTAGCTCTTTCAGCTTTTGCCTTTTGCTTCTTCCTCTCTCGAAATGGAAAGAAAGAAACGAGACTTAGACCTAAGAGGCGACCGAACAAGAATGAAGAGTAGGTTTCAATATTCTGTTTGGATTTAGAATTTAGGGTTTTTAGACGTAGGATTATAAATTTACGGTTGAGATTTAATTCTTACTGTTCCATTTAAATATTCGTTTTGATAGGATTTAATATTTTCTTAAAATTTTTTCTAGTTAAAATAATTTTAATTATTGTAAAAAAATTATTTGAAAATAACTCTCATCAAAATGTGTGTGTGTGTGTGTATATATATATATATATATATATATATATAATACACGCCCTTGGATGGCAAGGTTCGATCCCTACGTGGACAAATAACGCATATTGAGAGCGGTATTCTCAAATACCACCCGTTTAAATACACACACACACACACACACACACACACACACACACACGTACATACATACATACATACATATATATACATGCATATACTTAGAGATACATATATATATACATAGAGATACATATATATACATATGCAGATACATATCTATATATTTGTATATATATATACACACATATATACATATATATAT